AGGGAGGGAGGGAGGGAGAGAGGGGAGGAACAAAAGATTACGGCAGCCCTGACTGGGCTGGAACTGGCTATGTAAACAGGCTGTTCTTGAACTCACACAGATCTGCCTGCTTCTGTTGCCAATGTCCTAGGATTAAAGACATGCACCACAATACCCAGTGCCTGGGTTTGTGTCTTTGTTTTAACACCAATCAATTTTGTCCCCAACTGTAGTTCTCAATGAGTGACCTATCTATGGACAGGAGAGAAAACTTGCTAAAAGTAATTTTGTTCTTGCCGATGGTTTTGATTACTGTTTTCTGACAGCCCCGCCCACTGAGAAAGGACCGGAACTCTGGTTCACTTCACTAGTGCTTTCTTTTCTTCGTCGCAGGGATGAGCTCTTTAGACAAAGCTTGGCTAAGCTTCGAGAACAGCTGGTGAAAGCCAATACTCTGGTGAGGGAAGCCAACTTCCTAGCTGAGGAGATGAGCAAGCTCACTGACTACCAAGTGACTCTTCAGATACCCGCAGCCAACCTCAGTGCCAACAGGAAGGTAGGCATGGCCCTAGGGAATGGGACCACATGATGTAGGCTAGTAAACGCTGTGGCCTGGAATCTGGAGGTCACCTCTGTGAGCAGGTCCTGAGGGGGACCAGAGGGTTGGCTCTGTAAGCCTTCAGGTTGGTATATACCCAAGGGTAAGCATGCTGGGTAAATGTCCTTAGAGAAGACAGAAGCAGAAGGCTGGCAAGTGGTGTGCACACCTTTAATCCCAGCTCTCAGGAGGGAGAGGCAAGCAGATCTCTGAGTTCAAAGCCAGCCTGATCTACAGAGGGAGTTCCAGGATATGCAGAGCTACACAGAGAAACCCTGTTTTGAGAAGATCGAGGAGGAGGAGGAGGAAGAGGAGGAGGAGGAGGAAGAGGAAGAGGAGGAGGAAGAGAAGGAAGAGGAAGAGTTGGAAAGGATGGAAGCAGAATTTGATGACTGAAAGACTTTGTGGCTTAATCGCTTTCTTAAAAAGAATAAAACTAGGGACTCAGAAGATAGCTTACCTCACAAGCTTGATGACCTGGGTTCAATCCCTGGCTCCCATGTAAGAATGGAATGAGTGAGTTCTCCAGAGTTGTCCTCTGACCTCCACAGACTCATGGTGCCCACCTGCATCTACCCATACACAGTAATAATAGAAGTTTCAAAAGAGTGAAGTCAAGCATACATGCATGTTTATGCATGTATATGCATATATGTGTAAGTGATTACGCCTGCTTTCCTTCATGCAAATGCCCCTTCTGCAGTGGGCTATATGTGTATGCTTGGTTGTCCTGCCTTTCTATGAGTGGACTCTCTGAGAAGGAGAAACATCTTGGAAACCTGCCATCATACACACAGAACCCCTTGCAGCCAGCTGAAGTTTCCTGTCATTCCCACATAAAGATATTTTGCTGTAAGAGAAAATAAATTCTCGTCTTTTTACTAAAGGAAGTTAAAAAGGAAGTTGTGTGGGGGGAGTGGAGAGAGAGGACTCACTCAGGTATCCACTTTCTGCTCCTCCAGAGGACCCAGATTTGGTTCCTGGCACACACACGGTGCCTCAGCAGCATCTGGAGCTCTGGTTGCAGGGGATCCCAAATCGTCTTCCGGCTCTGGGAGTACCAGGGACACATGTGCACAGACATGCATGCAGGCAAAGCACACAAATGCATAAAATAAAGTCTTTTAAAAAGTGTAAGAAAGCTAGTTAAGGAGTATTTTATTGGTCTTTGGAGTTCTACGTCCACAGACATAGCCATATCCACACCTTCCTACTGTATACAAGGTTTCTAGTATAGTCCCTTTCTTCTTTAAGAGTGATTGATTGATTGATGATTGATTGAGACAGGGTCTCTTGATCCCATGCTGCCCTCAAACTTACTATGTAGCTAAGGATGACCTTGAACCTCTGATCCTCCCGTCTTTACCTCCCAAATCTGTCATTCCCAGGACGCACTGCCACATCTGTTTTACATGGTGCCAGGGGTGTAACCCATGGCTTTGTGGGTTACAAGCCACCTCCCTGGCCCTCAGGGTTGCATCTATGTAACAAAAACTTGAAATACCCTTGTAATTGAATAATAGAATGTGATAAATCTGTAGAATGAATTCCTATGTTTCTATTGAAAAGCAAGATTATGAAGAATATCCAGTGAAAGGAATTGATTGTGAGGTAAATATACATATATAGATATATGTAGAAAAGGAAGGCCAGAGTATTCCCTAGGTGGTAGAGTTTTACGTCTTTTGTGAACTTATAACCTCACTATAATATATCCAGTCTTTAACTGTGGGGAAAGTCAGAATTGTGTCCACCTTGTTTTCCGTCTGGATACAGAGAGGAGCAATAGTCAGTGAGCCGGCCATCCAAGCCAGGAGGAAAGGAAAGAGCACCCAGGTCTGGACCATTGAGAAGCTGGAGAATAAGTTAATCGATATGAGAGACCTTTACCAAGAATGGAAAGAAAATGTCCCTGAGGTAAGAGAAACAGAGCATGAAGGAGATTTGGCTGTATTAAGACCTCAGGTATAAAGGATTGGTCATTTACACTAGGAAGATAAAATGTGATCTTTAGTCCAATCACACGTGATTCAGTCAGGTGGGCTCGGAATCCGGGAAAGCCAGGCTGTCTTAGTTTGCTTTGTGCTCTTTGGGTCTCAAGGTGAGATGAGGAAAGAAGTCGCTCCGAGCATGCGCAGTCGCTCCACCCCATTAGTCGGTGTCCTGGAAGATTAGACCGGCCAGTGTGGATTTCACCTTCATCCCCAACTGCGCATGTGCCCCTAACTGTCCGTGCCCCTAGCTGTGCTCAGGGCTGGGTAGATTTCTAAATGCAATCGTAGCGAATATAATGTTTAGTTTTGCTTTTAACATTTGTCGTTACTAATAAAAAGGAAAATTTGGTGAAGGAGTTGGTGCAAGTGTCAGGGCCTGACGTGAAACAGGCTTTGGCATGGGGTCGTCTGCATGAGCAGCCCCTAGCAAACACGCCCTGCTCGTGTGCTGGGTCTTTGTAGGCGCGATTCTGATTTTACCTGTTTATTTTTATGACTGCTTCCTCTAAACGTTTTTTAGTGCTAGTTTGAAGTAACATGATTTAAGTTGATGCATTGTTCCTGACCTCTCACCCAATGACCTGTCCTTTTTCTCAGGCTAAGAGGCTCTACGGGAAGCGAGGTGACCCTTTTTATGAAGCTCAGGAGAATCACAACCTCATTGGTGTAGCTAATGTGTTTTTGGAATGTCTCTTCTGTGATGTGAAGCTTCAATATGCAGTACCCATTATCAGCCAGCAGGGGGAGGTAAGGACACGCCAGCCACTAGAAAATTGACAAGATAGGAAATTTTGTTTAATCTCTGCCTTGAGAAAGATCAAGAAAGTGTGTGCGTGTGCGTGTGCGTGTGCGTGTGTGTGTGTATGTGTAAGTGTGTGTCTTCTTTTGTTTTATCCTTCTTAATATATGGTCTTAATATAAGTTATCAGTCAGAATCAAGCCATGGTCCTAAAAGATAACACATTTCATATTTGTGGCTTATAATTTTTTTGTTTTAATTTTGGTAATTTTTGCTCTTTGCCTCATATTAATTTTCCCTTTAAAAGCCTCCTCCAATACTAGTCATCCATGCCAATGTCTTCCTAGCTAGTAGATGTCCTTTTCAAGGCATTACTTAGACTCAGGAGTGGTGGTGTGTCCATTTGGCCCCAGCGCTCAGGAGGCAGAGGCAGGCAGATCCCTATGCCAGCCTGGGCTACCCAGTGAGTTCGAGGCCAGCCTGGGCTACCCAGTGAGTTCGAGGCCAGCCTGGGCTGCACAGTGAGAGCCTGTAAACAAACAAATGAATAACTAAAATGAAAAAATAAAGACCTGGGAAGATTATTCTGAAGCCCTAAGTAACAAAGAAAGCAGCTTAAGTGAACTTTGTTAGCCCCCTTTAGACAGTCACGGCTCAGCAGTTTGGGTATATTTGCCCTTCGTGGGCCTTGGACATGTTAGAAAACATTCATGAGGAAACTTTTACTTTTCCTTGGGTCCGTTTTCACTTTGACAACTTTATTATTTGATTATACTGTGGCTACAGAAAGACTCAAATAAAACAAAAATTACCCAGTGTCCCTCTGACCAACGCCTTAGTAAGATCATCTATAGTTCCTCTGTCTCTTTGTACATTTGCACAGCATTTAAACCAAACCAGCCCTGCAGAGTTACGCTTTTTTTCCATTTTGTATTCTGGAGCGGTCATTTTGTTATGTGAACATTTGTTCTTCGGTTTACTGCTTCCCAACCTAATTATAATGGAAACATACCTTACCTCTAACTTTGGGGTATTCAGTTGCTTGGACTATCTGCTGACATAGCTAGCACTGTATGGCTCTTATCTTGTTAAGGAAAATGTCCTAGGAGCGCCCAGGTGCATACGTATATTTAAGCTTGTGATTCGTTCCAGGGTACTGCCCTCCAGAAAGCATCCATTTCTCTTTGTATTCGTTGGCAGCGGGGTGATCACTTCTTGTGGTTCTCCCCGCTACAGTGTAAGCTTTTCCCCAGAACCCACTGGCTGATTGCTGGTCTTCTGTGCTCTGCAGTCTTAGACACCATCTTCTAAGCTATGTGTCTCAGATGCAAACTTCTACCCAGCTCGTCAGCTGATGCTTTTTCTATTCAGTCACAATCCTTAACTTCCTAGTTTGTTTTCTATAACATGCATCGTTGAACTACAGTGTTCTTCCTTGGAGTTCTTCAGATACGGTTTACAATGGGAAGCTGGGAGTAGTTCCCAGGGTGGGCTGTGTGTGTGTGCACCTGCATGCATGTGTGCGTGCGTGTGCGTGTGTGTCTGCTGTCTGTCTGTCTGTGCGCATGTGTGTGTGTGTGTGTGTGTGTGTGTGTGTGTGTGTGTGTGTAGGAGCTGGGAACTTCCTGGATACCCCAGTGACCACCAGTGTTTCTTTCATGCTAAGAATACAACTTAAGTGGCCAGCGGAGCCAGTGGCTGAGGCCCTTATTCAGGGCCTCTTAATCTCGAGTCCCTGGCAGGCTTGGGTATCTGAAATTATATCACAAATGTACTCTGGGGGCCCATAGATGGCTCAGGAGGGTAAAAGCATTTGGCCGCACAAGCCTAATGACCTGAGTTTAATCTCCAGTTCTCAGAGTGGAAAGAGGACTTCTAAATGTTTCCCTCTGACCATCACACGTATGCTAAGGCATGCATACACCTGTACACACACACACACACACACACACACACACACACACAAATAAGTAAATAAAGATGCATTCAGCCCTCAGACAAGCATTGTAGGAAGCACTGCACTGTGGGATCTCCATCCTTCTTCCCCTCGGTACTTCTGCCTCTGTATCTGACTTGTCAAATATCATCACCTAATTTCTCCCAGACCCTTGTCCCCAGTGCCAGTTGCTATGTGGAAGTCTGATCATTAAACATAACCCTTAGCCTTGGGTGGTGGCTTATCCCTGTAATCCTAGGATTCAGAAGCTGAGGCAGAAAGATTATGCATTTGAGCACATCCTGAGCCGTCTCCAAAAGAAGGAAGAAATATACCATATTGGACCTGCTTCAGTGACACACTACCACAATCAGAAATATAAACATCCTAATGGCAAATGGCCTGATAAGAACAGTTATTTAGGGATGGGGGGATGCCTCAGCAGTTAAGAGTGTCTTGCTGCTCTTGCAAAGGGCCAAAGTTCAAGTCCAACCTCCCCAGTCAGATGGTTCACAACTGCCTATGACTCCAGCTCCAGGGGCATCTGACACCTTTGGGCTCTTTGGACACCAGCACTCAAGTGCACAGACCTACACATATGCACATAATTAAATAATAATAAGTTGAACAAAAGAATCGTTAGGCACGCCTCCCCAGTGTCCACTCTGCATATCACTGAAGCAATCTGGAGGCCGAAGCAGGAGGATTCAACAGTGCAGTCAGCCTGGGCTATATAGTGAGGTCAGCCTGGGCTATATAGTGAGGTCAGCCTGAGCTATTTAGCGGGACCCTGTCTTAACACATCTCAACCTCGCAAAAACAAACAAAAGACCTCTTTGCGTGCCCGGCTGGCTTTGTTCCTGCAATCCCTTCTGGAATCAGAGCCTGTTACCACCCACGAGCCCGTTTTCATGCAGCTCCATCTTACATGCCATCCTCCCTCCCTGAGCCGGGGACCATGTCTGCCTAGTGTACTGTTGGAGGCACAGTGCTTGGCAGTTTCTGCCCGGATCCGTTCTCAGCGAATACTTGCTACGCGCATGCGCATGCATTTATCCCATGCACACCCAACACCTACACCTTTCTGTTACGTCGTCGACTGCTCCATCCTGTCATTGGCTCTCATTTCTCAATTTCTTTCTGCCCTTAACCATGAGTTCACTGGCAGGAGAGCTCACTGGCAGGAGAGCTCACTCCCTGGTGTCCCAGGAGGCTAGATCCCCGATGAAGTGAATAGATTACCCAAGCATGGTATCAAATAAATCCATAGGTAGCCGTGTAAACATACACAAAACCGAATGTTCCAGTAGAATATGATAGCTCCCTTGAAGCCACTCCTTGCCTGAGCTGAGGAAAATGGATACACCTAAGGAGAGTTCTAGAAAGCAAGTCAGGAGGAGACAAATTTGGTTCAGAGTGAGAAAGGAAGGTTGCAGGGGCAAGCGTGGGCTTGCCTGGCTCTGGGAAGGTGGGTTTGGGTCTCCCTCCTGGAAGTGGCTTAGGATGGAGGGTCGCACACTGCGGGAGATGGCCAGCCAGAGCTGTAGAGTGAATTTCTGTCCCAGGCTAGTGATGCCCAGGGTATACCTTTGGACTCTGATATGCTCCTGTTCATTGACCCAGGTCGCCGGGCGCCTCCATGTGGAGGTGATGCGTGTTACAGGAACCGTTCCAGAGCGCGTGTCGGAGGATGACTCTTCAGAGAACTCTAGTGAGAGTGGGAGTCTTGAAGTGGTGGACAGCAGCGGGGAAGTCATTCACCGGGTCAAAAAGCTCACATGCCGGGTGAGAGAACAGTGATAGGGCTCAGGTAGCCGCGTGAGAGGGCAGTGATTGGGTTTCACGTAGCCGGGTGAGGGGGTGGTGAGTGGGACTCAGGAGGACCCTGGCAGTGCCGGGTGAGAGGGCAGTGATCGGGTTTCACGTAGCTGGGTGAGGGGGCGGTGAGTGGGACTCATGTAGACCCTGGCAGTGCCAAGCTATACCCGCAAAGTTTAATAAGGTTTCATCTAGCACAATGCAAGTTAAACTGTCTGACAGGAGATGTGACTGTGAACAGCACTTTTTCTAGAATTCTCTTGTGACGATTGTTTGAAATTCCCCCTAAAGGTATATCCTCTGCATTTAGTATCTAGGCAAAAGTGATTTCATGATGCCCTCCATATACCCGAATCCCTTCAAGTCCCTTATACCTGGTGTTTGCATAGAATACTATACACATGCTTCTACATACTTTAAACAATCACCAGTAGAATCGCATGTAATGTGGTACAGATGCAGTGTGTTTGTTACATCACAGCCCCAGTTAGCTTTGTTTTTTAAGATTTTATGTAGTCCTGGTTGTCCTGAAATTCACTATGTAGACCATGCTTGTCTCCAGTTCAGCAGAGATCTGCCTACTTCTGCTTCCTGAATGCTGGAACGAAAGTTGCTCACCACCACACCCAGCACTAGTTGGTTCTAATTTTCTATCTGACACAGCCTAGAGTCACATGATAGAAGATTTGCATTGGTCAGATTGTCTAGTGGGCCTCTCTGTGGGAGATTGTCTTAATTGTTAATTCATATAAGAGAGCCCAGCCCACTGTGGGAGGCACCACTCCCTTGGCAGGCTGTGCTGAGCTGTATACGAAAGCTAGCTAAGCATGAGCCAGCTGGCCAGCAACACTCCTCCATGATTTCTCCTTCAAGTTCCTGCCTGGACTTCCCTCAGTGATAGTCTGTGTCCGATCTCAGCTGAAATTAACCCTTTCTTCCCCTAAGTTGCTTTTGGTTATAGTTTTTACCACATCTATGGAAAGGAAACCATAAGTTGCTTAGAGAATAGTGACAAGATAGAGTGAGTCTACACGCTGCCACGACAATGTAGTTGTTGTGGGTGTATCTGGTCTCTTGGTTAAACCACAGATCTACAAATACAGAAGACCATGTATGTGGCAGCATGGAGAATTTATTAGTGAGTTGTGTTTTTTCTATTAAAAGTCAAATCTGTATCAGAAACTAAGTCATGAGTGAATTAGACAGGAGTGTGTTTGGGGTTCCTTTTTTTTTTCTTACTAAGTGTATGTTTTATCGTTAGAAAACTGTGGTACAGGTTTTGTTTTTGAAGGAACACTTAGAATGGTGAGATGCCTCGTCAGGAGAAGAGGCTTGCTGCCTAGCCCAGAACCTGAGTTCAGTCCCCAGAACCCATGATGAAAGGAAGGAATCGACTCCCATAGGTCTTCCACACACGGCACATGTGTACACATGCGTGCACATGCCAAGGCACATGCCTGTGTGCTCACAAATACAAAAGTAAATATAATTTTTTCTTACAGTTTGAAGATGGGCCCATGCACTAGACGTGATGGTACATACCTTTAGTCCCAGAACTCAAGAGACAGAATTGGACAGATATCTGTGAGCTAAGGCCTCCATGGTTTATAGTTTTAAAAAAGGGTGAGCTGAGAATACAACTTGGTCTGTGTGAGACTCTAAGTTCTCTGCAAGATGGATGGATGGATAGATAGGTAGATAGATAGATAGCTAATAGATAGATAGATAGCTAATAGATAGATGGATAGAAGATAGATGATTGACAGATGATAGATAGACGATAGATGGATAGATAGGTAGGTAGATAGATCAATCACAATGAATGATGTCAAATATTTCCAAATGATGACTCAATTATATAGCCCTCCCTGGTTGTCCTGGTATTGATCCTCTGATTTGATCTCCTCTTAGAGATAACTGAATTATGGACAGATATACTTTAGTGTTTCTTTTTATGAGACGCGTAATTTATTTTTTAAATCTCTTTAGGTGATAATTAAAGAGGCAACCGGGCTACCCATAAGCCTCTCAAATTTCGTCTTCTGTCAGTACACGTTCTGGGACCAGTGTGAGTCTACAGTGGCTGCCCCGGTGGTGGACCCAGACGTGCCTTCCCCGCAGTCTAAGGATGCCCAGTACACGGTGACCTTCTCTCACTGTAAGGTATGGAGGCAATTACAGAGTGAGATACCAGGCCAGGGGTGACACTCTATGGTGACATGTGAGCTGAGGCCCATCGGTCAGTCCCCAGCACCAGAAACGGCCACAACAGAGTCACCGTCAGCTGCATGATGGGGCAATGGTATTGGACACAGTCTTTTAAAAGTCTGCTTTTTATTTACAAATAAAGAATAAAATGTTTGTGTATTTTTTACAGTATACTCCACAACACTATGTGTAATCCTGGGGTTTGAACAGGACGCCTTCCAACTGTGTGGAGGTTTTTTTTTTCCTTGATTGTTTTCAAGGACCAAAAATTCCTCGTTAGTTTAAAAAAATAAGAGAGTTTCTATTATCACCTAGCAGCTTCAGGATTTTAGTCCTTTTCTTGCTCAGCTCCCTTTTCATGCCCCTCCCTTTCACACTGAAGCCCTCCCTCCCAGAGGGTCCCCTCAGCTTCCACACCATCTCTTGCTGTGTCTGTCAGCCCCTGAGGTCAGAGTTTCATGCCTGAGGATGGGTGGATGGTTATGGGCTGACACGTGGGTAACCTGCTGTTGGCTCCACCACTGAAGAAGATGACACGCCTTCTCCCCGGATTTGTTAAATTACTACAGGGTCCTGTTCCGTAGCTCAAGCAGGCCTACGGCTCGAGATGTTGCCTACTCTACCCTCCAGCTCATGACGATCCTCCTACCTCGGCCTCCCAAGTGCTGGGATTACAGGCGGGAGCCCCCAGGCCTGGCTAGAATCCACTTCTAGCTTGTAAATTCTCTGCCTATGTGGTGTCACCTGCCTGGAATCCTGGCACAAGGGAAGCTGGGAGAGTAAGATCACACACTCAGGAGAGCCCATTGCAAAAAGAAAGGTTTGCCCTGTAAGGTTTTTGGTTTGGGTTTTGCTTTTTTCTTTTTCCCCCCAAACATGATATATCTTATTGGACTTTGGAGAGCTCAAGTGCTCTTCTTTACAAGTTGAAATAATTTGGGAATATGTAAAATGAAATCTGAAAAAAAAAAAAGCCCGTTGGGCTATGGTGGCACATACCTTAATTCCAGCACTTGGGAGGCAGAGGCAGGCGGATTTCTGAGTTCGAGGCCAGCCTGGTCTACAGAGTGAGTTCCAAGACAGCCCGGGCTACACAGAGAAACCCTGTCTCAAAAAAACAAAACAAAAACAGACAAGCAAACAAAAAAACAGCCCATCTTACAGTCCTCTTCTGCGCAGGTGTAACCACCGGTGATGTTTCTCCTTTTAATAGATCGCCTTTGGTTTGGTTGTATTTTATATTCTCTAGGGTGGAGTCTGCTGTACTGCTGTGCTAGCCTTGAGCTCCTGGGCCCGCCCTGAGTTAGCTGGAGCATGAGTTGCATGTCCCCGCACCCTGCCACATGTTTTAATAAGCTATTTCCTATGTTTCTGCCTCCCCTTTCTAGCTTCTGCTTGGCACTGTCACCTAATGAGTCCTCAAAGACAGACTCTGCCCTCTGGTGAGGCTTCTCCTGGATGGCCTGTCCACACTGCCTCTCTGAAAACTGTGTCTGTTCTTTCTGACCCCAACTTAGAAAACAAATTCCTGTCACCACCTCTAAAATGTCCTATGTACAAGACTCTCAGGTCTTCCTTTCTTAAATGAAGACTTGCGTATTTACTTATTCAGTGTACATATGAGTGTTTGGCCTGTGTGTCTTTATGTGTGCCATGCCCATGCCCAGTGCTCCCAGAGGCTGGAAGAGGGTGTCAGCCTCTAGAGCCAGTGTTACAGGTATCCCTGAGCACCACGTGGGTGCTGGGAACCAAACCAGCATCTTCAGGAAGAACAACTGTTTTAAACCATCGACCCCATGCCTACCTGTCTTGACCTGGATTTGCCAAACCACATTCTCAAAAATCTTTAGTTACAATGTTTACCTGGAACATTTATTTCTTATTACTTTAAATTAGCAAGCAAAGCTACAGGCCTTAATTATAGCATTTCATAGGCCTTGTTCTGATTTACTCCCCTGCCCCATCGCCTTCTCCCATACCCTTCCCCCACACACTGGTTCCTTTCTCTCCTAAGTAATATTACCCTCACGTTTGTTGTTGTTTTTCTAATATTCTTTAAATAGTCACCATCCCTTCTTTTTATCCACAGGGCTGTTTACATTAGGAAGACAAAAGCTAGATTTTTACTGTGTGCTGTTTAACAACTTTTTAAATATGTATGGATCCCAAAGTCCCTGGGTTAGCAGTGTGATTTTAAAGATTGTTGGATATTTGCTTTGTTTTGTTTCATTTTTTTACCTCTAAAGTATGTAGCTTGAACTAATTGACCATCATGTTTCTCTTCCTTCTAAAATCCTGGGTCTGTCCTGAGATGAAATAAGAAAGTAGGTAGTATAAAGTTCAGTCAACTTAATAGATGTTTCTGGAAACGAGTCAGGCAGAACTGCACCTGAGACTCAGCTTGGGCGCCCCAGGAGGCTCATGGGAAGGAAAGTGGCTTGGCTTTGAGCCTATGGAATGTTCCAGGTGACCTGCCACAGTTCTCAGGGAACTCTGTAAATCTGCACGGTTGTAGGCTGGTTTTGTAGAGTGAGAAACTGAAGTGAGACACTCGGGAGCAAGAGCCTAGACCATGGAGGAGTCAGATAGTTGGAGTCCCTTACTCAGTGAGTCTCAGAGTGCAGCAAGGGTCACCAGAGGTCAGAGTGGCTCATTAGAACTGACCGTGAGCCAAGAGAAGAGAACACAGATCTGGGCTCTGCACCTAAAGCCAGATTTGAATTCAGGCAAGTTACTGTCTTTGTTAGATCCAGGCCACCTCCTAGATCCCATCCAGGTCTAACATCCCACGGTCCTTCATGCTTTCCTACAAAACAGAAGAGATGAGGTTTACGTGTGACAGCAGGTAAGTGGGTACCATTATGTCTGACTCTCAGTGTGCTCTCTTGCCTTCTGCTTATCCCAGGACTACGTGGTGACTGTCACAGAAGAGTTCCTGGAGTTCATTTCTGATGGCGCGCTGGCAATTGAAGTGTGGGGCCACAGGTGTGCTGGGAACGGAAGCCCCATCTGGGAGGTCGATTCCCTCCATGCGAAGACAAGGACATTGCATGACAGGTTTGTTCTTGCTGTGAGCGTGAGACCCAGGCCAGGAGTCAGGACTAGCTCATGACCATAAGTGAGAGTACAGGCTTCAAACCCTGGGGCTTTGAACAAATTGCTCATCCTTTGAGGCCATTCCCCCCTCTTTAAATTAGAATTTAAGGAGGAACCACCAAGCTTCAAAAAAACACTGTGCAAAGTGAGTCATGGCAACACGAGACTAAAATAATTGCTGTGTTTATCTGAAAAAAAAAAACCTTTATTTTACTTCACTTCATATACAAAAATTACTATGAGATAATCATATATTTAATTTTAAAGCTCTTACTATATTATTTGTGTGTTTGTGTGTGTGTGTGTGTGTGTATGTTTCTCTGTGTGTCTTTGTGTCCCAGTGTGTGTCTGTGTGCTCACAGGTGGAGGTCAGAAGACACCTTGCAGGAGTCTGTTACCAACTTCCACTATGTGGCTACCAGGGATTGAATTCAGGTCATCTGGTTTGGAAGCATGCCCCTTGACATACTGGGCTACCTTGTTGACCCAAATCACAAATTTAAATGCAAGACAAAAACCTGTAAATTTGGCAGAAGAAAATAGAGTATTTTATATATAAATTTTTATTATCTTTTGTTTGTTTTTGGTTGGTTGGTTGGTGGTGTTTGTTTGTCTGTCTGTCTGAGACCTGATTTGGCTGTAGTCTGAGCTGACCTCATTCATGGCAGTCGCCTGTCTCGACCTCCCAAGTTTAAAGTTACAGATGTGAACCACCATGCCCTGAGTTATTGTCATCATGGTTGTTTTAAGCAAGTGCTCGCTATTTGATCCATTTGGGCTCAGACTTGGAATCCTCCTGCCTCAGCTAGTGCTAGGATTACTGGTGTGCACCCTGCTTCCTAGGTAAGGAAGAAATATCTTTACAGCTTTGAGATCGTCTCAGGTTCTCAGGCCACAGTAACCAGAGTAGAAGAAACTTCCACATTGGACTTAGTCTACATTAAAGGCACAATATAAAAATAAACAAGCAACCACAAGAAAAAAAATCCTAATGTCTTTATCCTTTTTATAGCATTTCTAGAGACTGAGCATAGGTCTTTCGGCATGCAAGACCAGGGCTCTACCACTGAGCCCCAGCCCCAGCCCGAAAATTGGCGGTTTCAGATAAAGTTGATCATTTGCCTCTTCTGTGACCCAGCAATGCACACCTAGATGAAGATTTAAGCCTACAAATAATGTTCATGGCAACTTTACCAGTATCCCCAGTATCCCAGTGAGCCCGGGTATCCCTCAGCAGATGAATAAGAAAAGTACTAGATTATTCATCCAAGAGTGCGTTAGTCAACGCTTAAAAATAAAAGAATTGGTCGGGTGGTTGTGGTGGTGGCTGTGCATGCCTTTGATCCTGACACTCGGGAGGCAGAGGCAGTGGATCTCTGTGAGTTCGAGGCCAGCCTGGTCTGTTGAATGAGTTCAGGACAGCCAGGGCGACACAGAGAAGCCCTGTCTTGAAAAACCAAAATAGATAGATAGATAGATAGATAGATAGATAGATAGATAGATAGATA